ATTACAGGATCCGCAAATACCAACATGTCACAGAGGACCAAAATATGAAGCTACAAAGGACACTCACGTCAGAACAATTGAAAATCTTTACGACAGCTATCGAAATACCATGCCGTACATCCTTGTTTACTATCCAGATAAAGGATAGTTATTTAATAAACATGAGATTTACTACTAATTAATGAGTGTAATAAAAACGATTTAGTATAAGAGGTTTGTAAAGATTGTTCGATCTTTAGTTTATGTCATAGATCAACGTTAAATAAGCAATCAGAAGATGGCGTATAACGACTTCATCTTAGTATAGGGTTACTCACTAGTGCAAACCTATCACCAACCTGTAACCCAAATATGCTATATTTCATCTTGGAAAGCATCGTGAATATAAATTTCTGGGTCATTCTATAATAGGACACAAAAAACTATCTAGTGCTCTCCAGTTTTCAATGCAGTTTTAACTGAGATCCACCAATAGTGAATGCAACTTAGAAATTAAAGAAGTTTCTAAAACAAAAATCGAAGCATTTGATCAATACAAATTACAGGAATCACTCGAAGATCAACGAAGAATACTTATTATTAGTTCATATATATAGTAACTTTGGAGTCAAAGTACTATAAACTATTACCGTTTGAATACAATCAAATGCTTTGGAAGTGTATTAGAGTTAAGATAAAATTCTAAAGAGTTAAATGAAAATATGCTTCCCACACTAAAAGTAACCCTAGTGAGATGTAAACTAGAAAAATGTTTTCAGGCCATAGACCATTATTTAAAAGGTTAATAAGATCTGTTGGAAAGATTTCAAAGAACAGCTATTCTGGAGACGGTCAACCTGCATTGAAATGAATGACTTTGTAAATGAAATTGCTCTAAATTATTCTACCATAGATTAAGAGATGAATTAATTATGATATAATAATAATCATGGATCTGATATATCTTCTATTTTTCTTGTATCTGGGATAAAACAACTAAGGCGAAGTGATAATAAAGTTCCGAATTCAAAAAACAAACTGTATACTGGTTAAGTTTATGTTTGCTCTACTAAGTAATCCATTCACTGATACCTACTTTATGGCTGTGAAACATGACCGGTAAGAGTAGAGCATATTCGTAGGTTACTAATATTCGATCATAGATGTCTTCGAACCATTACTTGTATATCCTGGGACCACCAAGTAAGTAATGCAGTTGTTAGGAAACGGGTACTAGGTAAGGATGGTAAATCAATTGATGAAATTGTGAAACATCATCAGTTGAGATGACTGGGACACATACCACGTATACCCAACCACCGAATACCACGATGAGCGATGTTTCATGGTGCAGGAGTAGGTTGGAAGAAATATAGGGGTGGCCAGAACAAAACATGGCACAAGTCCATGAAGTCACTGACAAGTGAACTGAGTCATGTTGGTAGGTGTAGACTACCTGGTTGAGATCCGCTAGACGATAGCAAACGGTGGTTAGAGACCCTGAATGACATAGCTCAAAATCGTTTGCGATGGTGCAGGTGCATCCACCCCTTGTGTTCTCCCAAATTCTAATCTTCTGAATCCTTCTTGTCTCTTTTTTCTCTTTCCAAATTCATTTCACTGTATTATAATCCTTGAATAACATCTTCAAGTCCTAATCTTTCCGATTACTGCTTAAACTCTTGCTATCTCTACCACTACGGGATTTGAATCGACAATAGTATATGTGTGCTAATGTGGTATGGCAACTCGGGCTGATGCATGTATGTACGAAGTTCTACTTTGTTGCTGACTGACTGAGTAACGATAGATGTATTTACACATGTACTAATAATATTCCATCTGAAATAACCCCCTTTGTATATTCAAGAGCAGTTTGTTTTCACATTAAATCTACCCTTATTATCCAAAGTGATGAAGTTTCAAATTGTTTCCACATTATTTTCTTAATTAACCCTGTCTCCTCTTACCCCATTTCCAGTCTAGCTGACCTTTTATTTCTTTATATATATCAACGTTCTAAACAGGTGTACTATGTGTGATCAGATTGTTCGAAATTTATTGCGCTAATATATATCATCATCAGATAGTTCTGATAATCTTCATCTTCTTATTACACTATTGAAACCCATGATTAAATTAATCAGATTGAAATATGACAACGTAAAAGTCTTACTTTTGCTCAAAATTCTCTTTCTAATGATAGGCATCAAATAATTTACAAAAACGGAATTTCCATGGTCGGATTCACGAGTTGATCTAAGCTAGACCACTAGTGAAAACATGGGAGCACTGGGACAGTCGTTTCGTTCTAGTATGGTACTTCTCAGCAGTGCGTATCCACGATATCGCATACGAAACTCAAACGCATGACCTTTGGTCTCACGTACGAACACTTGACGTCTAGACTGCTGAACCGGCATCCATTGGAGTTAACGTATAACTTCAATTGATCCATGGTCTAATATAGATCGACTAGTGAGTTTAACTATGAAAATACTACAATGTCCACAAATCCCCGTACTGAAAACAGAATTTTTAATAATAAATTAACTCGGTTTATTTTCGATTATGACTTTACTTCTGGTAAAATATTATATTTCTGCACTACTTTCCTAGTTACTTTTCATATTCATTTATACGTACAGATGATATTTTCTATTCTTTACGTTCGTATCCATTAGTGGCTACTACAATGTGATTATAACACAACTAAATACTGTCATTTTGTTAAAATCAAGCTTTACTGAAGGCTATTTTAAGTGGATATATTTTGTAATAGATCATGAATAGATTGTTTAGAATAATATTGACAAGCTCATGGTTCTAATTTTCATTTGACTATTATGGTGATATATTGGGGAATGTGATTAACTATTAAATTATCCCATCAATTCAAATGAACATTTAGCAGATAACATGACCCATAAATTAATAACTCTTTATTCAATAATTCTTTTGGTTTATACTGATAAATGTTGGTCGTCTGTTCGAGTATGTTGGTAAAATTAATTAACATGAAATAATTTTCACCACAAACCGATAACAGCTAAAGAGGCACTGACAACTAGAATTAGAGACTCCGTTAAAATCTATATTCATAACCCAAGCTAGGTTTGATTACGAATAATTGGTTCTTAGCACAGTGGTCTAAAGGTAATTTGCTCTCTGTACAGTCCAGATTCGAGCTTTAATTGAGACCTTGGTACTTCTGGGGAAAAAGCGTTACCCAGTGCTCATTATATATGGTTTATTTATTGCTTTGAAGTAGGATTCCATTTAGAAATAATCAGGACAGCAACTGCTTAGGATATAATCTATCAATTTAAATAATATCATATTTTTATTGGTAGGATATCCCAACATCTTGTTCAGTGAATCTTTTTTCAAAACTATTTTCAGACCACTTTCTATTATTTACTTGAACCTTCCCATTGATGTTTAGGACTACAATGGATCAGTCTCTTACTGGCATATGTGCATTCTATGCGTATTACCTCGATATTGCCTTAATTCACAAGCATCATAAACAAAGACATATAGTGGATAGTAGTGAAATCCAGGACACACATTTCATCCTATCTGCAACTCGTCAGATGGATGTACCTGCAACTCAGAATTGATATTCACTCTGAGACTCGAACTCAGTATCTTTCGCTTCAAATACCATCCACTTAGCTACTGAGTACTGATAGCCACTAGCTCTGTAAAATGGGATGAAGTTTAAAATTCACTTGGTAGTATTTACTTGAATCTTCTCATCTGATCTCAAGTTTTCAAACAAATGGATTTCAACCGGGTCCGTTGTGAGATAGTAAGTCACTGAACACAATGGTGGATGTGTCGCTCAAGTTCGTGAATTACTTGAAATGAGACATTAACATCATTTAATGCCGGCCGACTCAGTAACCTAATGAGTAAGCACTCGCGTAGGAGTCCGATAGGTCTTGGGTCCTAATCTCATGAGGCATGATCGTGGATGAGCACTTCTTAGGAATCCCACAATAAGATGAAACGTTCGTCCAGTACTTCTAGGTTTGTCATCGTGATCTAGCTTCAATTGACTCATGATTTCAACTATTGAAATTACCAGAAGGGGTTTTGTGGAGAGTTTAGGAGTTTTACCATCATGAAACCTGGAAGCACTGGACGGCCGTTTCGTCCTAGTATAGGACTCCTCAGCAGTGCGCATCCACGAGCCTTCCCCCAGCGAGATTCGAAACCAGGATCAATCAGTCTCGCGCCAGGCGCTTAACCAAATAGACCACTGAGCCAGCCGGCATCCAATGGTGTTAATGTCTAACTTAAACCAATCCACGAAGTTGCGCCACCTTACATCATTGTCTTCAATGAGTTGATATCTCACAACGGACCTGGTTGAACTCCACTGGTCACAGCTTCTCAACTAGAAATGACAATAATTAAAAGGCAATTAACAAATTAAAGAAATTAACTATAAATTGAAATGACCAATCAAGAGAATTAGATAATTCCGTAAACTTTACATTATGATTGGCTATCTTCATTTACTTATTATCATTATCATTAAATTAGGTATAAAATTTTCATACCTTTTATAATATAACTGTGTTTTATTCCTATCCTACATAGAAATAAAATTTAAATTATTGGTTAAAAGCAAAAGAAGAAAAAGAAAACAAAAGAGAAAAAAAAGAGAAAAACCTGCAGAAAAATTTTTAATACATTAGAATAGGGTGCAATGGGTGGGTGGGTTGGTGGTTGGCTGATTTTATGGTGGTGGGTGGGAAATAGGAGAAGAAGCGTAAACATTTTAAGCCAATCAACATTCGATTAGCTAAATTTACTAAAAAAAATTTAATTGTAAAACCACAGAAAGAAGGAAGGAAAGAAAGAAAGAAAAAAAAACCTTAGTGGGTAACAAAAATTAATTTTTAATTATTAGTGAATTAATTTTCTTTTTCTTTTCTTTTCTTTTTTGTTTTTGTTTTTATTCTTATTCATCAAAACAATCGTTAAAATATTTTGAATATACATTGAATATGATAGAACAACACGATTCAGATACTAAACATTTACCATTTACAATACATACTCTATTAGAACTTAATAATAATAATAATGATAATAGTACTTTGAATAATCAATTAAATAATGAAATAAAACAATTACCTATAGAGAAACATTCACAAAAAACGTTTACAAAAAATGGTACTCCATATCAATCAATAAAACAATCAATGAAACATTCAATGATAACCATTAATGATAGAAAACAAACTCAAGATTCTAATTGGATACCAAATAAATTAGATGAAAAATTATTTTTACAATTATTTAAAAATGTTTATTTATCACAAATTCAGTTACCATTCAATACTAACACTACTATTAGTAGTAGTAGTAGTAGTACTACTACTACCAATACTACTAGTAATAGTAGTAGTAATAGTAGTCATGACAACTATATGAATTATGATATCCCTAGTATTAATAATATTGTAAATTATTTACAAACAGATCATTGGTCACAATTATTAAATCTTACAACATATCATTCACCATCTCAATCAATTCAATCATCATCATCATCATCGTCATCATTATTTAATGATCAATCTGATCTAATTCGATCTACATTAAAACATTTGAATCCTGATCATTTACAATCTAAATGTACATTTTTATCAAATAGTCAATATAGAGAGGATGTTATTCAGAAAAGTAAGCTTTTGATACATTATTTATATTATGGATATATTTGGATGAATGTATTCATTGTAAGTTTATTATTGACAATATTTATTGAAGGACTACAGTTGGATCTGTAATTGGTCATTCTGTAGTGAAGGAGAATACAGGTGAGGACAACTGAATTATATTTAGCATAAAATTACAGAGTTACTTGGTAAAATAGGAAAACCATACTATAATACCTAATTTACAAAATATTCAATAATTGTCTCGAACTTCAATGTTCTTGCATTTCCATATTAATTGCTTTCTATTCCCGCTGTTCCTTTCTTGATCTTCCCCATCTTCTGCTACCAGACATTACATTCCTGACTCGCGTTATCTACTACTCATATCAATATAAGTAGCACGCACCACAATTCTACTGAAACAGTATACAATTTTATCTATTTATTTATTTAAACACATAAACGTTGGTACAAGGAGGCACCATAAAGTTATGCGCCACATAAATCATTTGATTTATGTTAGGGCTGGGATACTATCCATGTGGCCGAATTGAAGCAGGTACGATAGTATCATAGTGATTTAATCTAGGACATATGACTAGTTACATTCTTGAACTTGACTTGATTTTAATGCATTTCAAGATGAAGATTTATTAGGGATTATTTTGTAAATGCCATAAGTTATGAACAGTCTTGATGTATTGAATGCATTCAATGAATGCTTTAAGTCTAAATAATTGGTATAATTTCACAAAGATATATTTTCAACTTCTTTCTTATTCTAACTGCCTTGTACAGTACATAATTACTTACTTATGAATGTTACCCCCAGTGGAGCATAGGCCGCCAACCTGCATTCTACAACCCACTCTGTCCTAGGCCTTACTTTCTAGTTCTATCCAATTGTTGTTCATTCTTCTCATGTCTTTCTTCATTTCTTGGCGTAATCTGTTCAGCAGCACTCATCTGCGATCCCGCTCCTATTGTGTAACAAAACGGCCGTCCAAAACTTCCAAGTTTTCCATGGTAGTCTAGCTTCAATCGACTCATGGTCTCAACTATTGAAATTCACTCTAATTTTTCTTAAAATTTAATGTTTACTGAACAACAATTCATGAATTCATGGAAAAGTATTCCCTTATTTAACTAGGATTAGTTTATTCTTCAAATGCTAAGGTAAAATGTAGTTTGATCTAATAAATACATTTAATTTTAGTATCATTTCTGAAAGTAAACAATAATAAATGTATATGGCTGATGAAAGTATATGCAATGAACAATAGAAAGAACTATTGTACTAAGTATGTTTTTTTATAATTTGGTGGTGGAGAAGATTTGTAGTTCAGGTGGATGATTTTGATGGAGTTTTGTTCTCGAGCTGGATGGTTTGGTCGCGAAGCTTTCATCGTGCAACATCAGGGTCTACAGGATAAGCTGTGAGCCATATGTGGAGAAATTCGAACACTTCACTTCTACCTGAAGTTTGTGCTGATGATGTAGTTCACAATAACGATGAAAACTCCAAGATCAAATCTTCCAGTTCAGAAAACAAAACTCCATCAAAATTTCTTTTATAGTCTTTCTTTGAACAGAGATCCATTAAACAGTTGTCTATTAGGATTAGTCGATGCAACCATTGAGCATATAGACTAATTATAATTTGACATGATAAATGTCACATAAGTCTAATTAAACAAGGTACAATTGTATTTTGTCTTAAGAATTTTTCTCTAGACTTTAAAAAATACTAGAAAATAAGCAAAGATTGATAGTGGCTAGCAGTGGAATTCAGGATACGCGTTTCGTCCCATTTAAGACTTGTCAGCTGGATGTACCTGTATCTCAGAGTTGATATTCACTCTGGGACTTGAACTCAGTACCGTTCGCTTCAAACATCATCGCATTTAATTAATTTCATATTGTAGTATAAGTGATATACAACGTGAATTTAGCCAATAAAGATGATTGATGACAAGGTTGTTTTACACAAAACTACAAACAATTTCAACCTTCAATAGTTTCATATTATTTCTATGAACCGTTGCATTACTGTCTTAGTTATTTAGTCATTCTCCTTACCAATGAATTCAACTTAATTGTAAACATATTTACAAATTTACTATTACCCTATGACCTATAATGTACCCAATTTCTAATGGATGAATAGATTTGGCAAATTTATGATGCTATACTTAAAAATTATGTTTAGACATTTCTGTTAATACATAAGAAGTTTTGAGATGGTGAAGAAGATTCCTAGCCCAGGTGGATGATTTTGATAGAGCTTTTTGTGCTGAAGATGTCCTTCAGAAGAACGACGAAATCTCCACGACCAAACCATCCAGCTCAGAGGACCAAGCTTCATCATAAAAAGTTTTCTCAAGTATCTCACACTACAATTATGAACAACTTTCTAGCGGTCCCTGATTTTCAAAAATACCGTAACTACTATTGACTATTATTCAATCATCTGTATAGTGAGACTATTATTACCAATATCACTGAATAATTGCCTCTCTCGTAAGTCCTAAAACACAGTAGGTTCATAAAGCGCACTAAATGTTATGGGTTTGATTCCTAGCCGGCTTAAGGCTGTACATTCCTGAGCAATTGAACACCTGGATGAAGTAAGTGTCTAATATTACCTAGTATCCTAATAGATATCAATCCACGATAAAACCACATATATATGTCAGATGTGTTTTGTGGAGATTGAAGTAATTTCAATGGTTAAGATCATGAGTCAGTTGAAGCTAGACCACCATGGAAAATCTAAAAGCACTGAACGGTCATTTCGTCCTATTGTGGGACTCCTCAGCAATGCGCATCCACGACCTCGCCCCTGTGAGATACTACAGTCTCCACAAAACCCATCTGATATTAATCAACATATGCTCACTATAGACTGGCTTCATGATGTATATCCTGGAGTTCTAGTGAGAACTAGTGACCAGTGGAATTCAACCAGGTCTGTTGTGAGATAGTAACTCACTGAAGACTATGGTGAATGTGTAGCTCAATTTTGTGGATTAGTTGAAGTTAGACATTAACACCGTTAGATGCCGGCCGTCTTATTGATCTAGTGGTTAAGCGTTCTCACGCGAGACTGATAGGTCCTGGGTTCGAATCACGCAGGGGGGCGGGTTCGTGGATGCACACTGCTGAGGAGTCCCACAATAGGACGAAATGGCCGTCCAGTGCTTCCAGGTTTTCCGTGATGATCTAGCTTCAACTGACTCATGATCTCAACCATTGAAACAACAATAACAACAGAAGTCTATGACACATGGTAATTTAGTCATCAAACAATTTTCTCCCATTTATACATTCTACAATCTTTCACTTCTCATCACTTAAGAACTAATAAGCTGACAGTAATAATAATAATAATTTTACCATTAGCTAATCATATAGACAAATTAATTGTGACATAAGTAAATTGTTTCTCTTTTCTTTCTATAGACTATTTCCTTTAAGCTGAATACAACGAATAGAGAAGTTATATCTTCTTATGGAATTGACTTATTTGTTCATTTTTGTTTGTTTTTGGTTCCCGAAAAAAAAAAGAAAAAAAAATTTTCTCTCAGAAAACATGACGAAATCAGACACCTTCATTCCTATGCAAACATACATACATATATATATGTATATGGATAAACGGTTTCCCCCAAAAATCAATAATAACTAACTAATATTCCATGAAATATGATCTTATATATTAATTGGTTTCATCAATCAAGAATTAATTAAGTAATATAGATAACTGACATTATCTAATAGAAACAATGAAAAGAATTAAGCATTCAATGACAGCCGTCCAGTGGTTCCAGGTTTTCCATGATGGTCTAGCTTTAATTGACTCATGATCTCAACTATTAAAATTACTATAAATATATCCACACAAAACCCTTTCTGATATTAAATAAATTTTAAATTCATTTAATGTTGTTTATTTGTAATTTCACTTCATTGTACAAGCAGGTAACTATTAGGACTTAGTAGTTGAGTGGAGAACGTGTTGGTATTTGAAAAAACGGTACTGGGTTTGAGTTCTAGAGTGAGTATGAACTCTGAGATATAAGTACATCTAGCTGATAAGTTCCGAAATAGGACGAAATGTGTGTTCTGGATTCCACTGCTAGCTACGATCCATCTTTCATTAAAATAGTTTTTTTTTTATCTTAGTATGGGACAGTTCAACAATGCATAACTTTGATTATATTAGTAATCGAATCTAAGATTTTGAGATCAATAAATTTGAACATTATTTTTTACACGATTGAATTAGAATGAAATAATCTATATTTTAAATTTGGATAGTTTGTAATATGGCATGGCAAGTGTAATAGCTCGTATTCTCTTAAGATTAGAAATATATCATTTTTGAGGAGGTACTGTAGTGAACACTCCACTCGACGCCACCTCTCCGCATCAAACTGCCCCAACTAGCACCTCAGCCCCAGGCCCGCAACGGCGTTCGCAGAACAGCACTCTTCACCTCCTGGTTGGCAGCGACACCAAATGTAGTGAACAAGAACACCAGTGGGGACAATCGAATGTATTTAACACGACATATCAGGACTTGTTAATAAAATCTAACAATCATAAAATAAATGCCTAATTTTCAAAATGTCTACCAATTGTCTCATAATGACTCAGACTTCATTGTTCTTGCATTTTCATACAAATTGCCTTCTGTTCCTATTCTTTAATGCTCGATCCTCTTGTCTCTCTGCTGCCAAACCTTTTATTCACGACTAACATCATACGCTACTTATGCCAATATAAGTAGCACACACCAGAGTACCACCTAATATATGAATTATTTTCAATGATTTTCACTTATCGTCTCCTACTAATCAACATTCGAATGATTATATATTTCAGAATAATATTCCAATCTTCCAAGTAAATTTCCCTTGGAAATCTCTTGAAAGATTAAGATTGTGTAATAATCATCAGCACCCATTAAAATGACACGATTATTTACCTACAATCTTATTAGTAAGATGTATACAAACG